TAGCTCAATCCTTATTAGACATCATGTCATTCATTCTGGAGAGAAACCCTATGAATGTAATGAATGTGGGAAAGCTTTCAATCAGAGCTCATTGCTTACTCAGCATCAGATACTGGAGAGAAACCTGATAAATGCAAGGAGTGTGGGAAAGCTTTCAGGTGTAGTTCAGCCTTCATCAGACATCAACGACTCCATACCGGAGAGTAATCACAGGACTATAATGAAAGCAGAGGATTTCTCAGTCACATTTTTTTTTTCTTTTTCTTTTTTTAATAGTAATCAGTTGTTAGGAGGAAGAGACTCCATAAGGGATTGCAAGCTGCTCGAGGTCAGGCTGCTACTGCAGATTTTTTTCCCTTTTATAACACCTAGGCAAGGGCCACATACAGAGGCCTTTAGCAAATGCTCGTTGATTAATAAATTGTGTTGCTACAGAAGACTTTTGAGAGTCCTTTGGACAGCAAGGAGATCAAATCAGTCAATACTTAAATTAATTCAGTCTATTCACTGGAACGTCAACTATTGAAGCTGAGGCGACCTAATGAGAAGATGGGACTCATTGGAAAAGACCTTCACGTTGGGAAAGATTGAAGACAAAAGGAAAAGGGAATAGCATAAGATGAGATGGATAGATAGTATGATGGAGACCAACATAAACTTGGGCAGACTTCATGAGATAATGGAAGATAGAAGGATCTGGTATTCTATGATCATAGAGAGTTGGACATGACTGAACGACTGAACAATTAAAAAAAATAGTAATTTAGCTGTTGGTACTCTAAATAGGAGATCCTAGTCCAGTGACTAACAAATGAGCATTCTTCTGGAGGAATGGAATCATATAAATCTTGATAACCTCTCTATAGATGAAGCTAGGATAAGAGAACATAGCTGCTAAGTGAAAAGATGATTCAGATTTTTCCTTGGAGATGTTAAGAAAGGAGACAGTGGAATGGGTAAAAGTCTATCTAATGGCATCAAGAAACATAATTTCATAGCATATTTAGTCATCTTGAATTGAAGTGCTCATGATAAATATTTGCTAAGGGATCACTATGGAAATAACTACAGCTTATATGCCAATACTTTTTGTGATAATTAAAGAGATAGAGAAATTCCCTGAGGAACTTGACAAGTGCCTTCAAAATAAAACAACAGATATTTTGATACTTGATAGCTTCTCTCTAAAGATGAACAGTACAAAGGTAATGATGGCAAAAAATAGTCTAGAAAATATTTTGGAATTAAGGAAAGAAAGAATCATAAACTGTACTGGTGCTTTATTCCTATATATCATGAACGTTTTTTCTAGAATGGAACCATAAGATATGGGTATACTGAACACCAAACATCATAAAAATTGGAATTGATTATATTTTACAAATAGGACATGCTTCATTACATATGTAGGAGTAATTCCTAAATCAGCATATTTTTTTATAATTTTTTATCATAGATGACTGACCCATTCTTTAAAGCAAGGATGAAAATTAACACAAAATTAGAAGAAAGAATAAACACATTAAGAAAAGCTACGGCAGAAAATTAAAACTACCCCAAATTAACATATGTAACAAAAT